ATGTGGGACCAACTTTATACAAATGAGCCCTCAGGCTGGCGTATGTGGTCCACTGCTCATCATCTTTATTCAATAAACATTTTCTTTTTATATCTGGACGAAGTCCATTATGTAATGTATGCAACTTGGAAAAGTCATCAAGTTCATTTTCACACTTGAGAAACATTTGTTCCAAGAGCTGCATGTATTTGATTGTATCGGGACCTGAAGTCCCTGCCTTTGTAAAGGCTGCAATATCAGACCTTATGTCAAAGTCTGAACATTTATGATCATAAAGTGTCTCCATGCCATATTTAAACTGTTCCCATGACAGTTGGAATTCTGACTGCGAGAGCACTTCTGCATCAATTGTAACCCCCCACAAGTGTACCAGTTGGGCAAGCAGGCCGTGTTTCACTGACTCCTCAAGAGTATTCAGTGCGATCCAACCCCATTGAGATCGGGGTGCCACAGTGGTTTTGAAATACATAATAATTTCTTGTAACCACTTGGTTAAGGCTTGCTTATCCTCATTCCATTTTGGGGGTTTCATGCCTTGAGTATTCATCTTAGGCATGCTCACCTGAGGTTCCCTTTCGGGTTGTAAATATACAGGGGCGAAGGGCACTCCTTGCGCCACCGTCAAGTACCCCTGGCCTATGTATCCGGGCCCCATGGGGTCATAATCGGCTGGCGGCGGTGGTGGGCCTTCAATGGCCCTTGGCAGCTCCTCAGCTACTGCGGCGTACTGTTCCTGATGCTATGGCTCAGGCGCCTGCATGTAGCTTGGCGGGTGCCCATACACTCCCTCGAACTCCTCCGACTACAATGGATGGGAGTGTTCTGCATATGGTTGTGATGGGACCACCTGCTGCCTTGGGGCGCTGACCGCCTGCTGTACCCTTTCCGGCTTGTAGACCCTTTCGGGCTGATATACCCTTCCGGGCTGCTCGTACTGAGGTGCCATTGGTGGCTGCTGATACGGAGGAGCCTGGTAGACTGCCGGCTCTTGGGCAAAGGGAGACATCTCCTGCAGTCTCTGAATTTTCTGCTGCGTAGCCGGCAGCGGAGGCTACACTCCCCATGGCCTAGACTGGCCCATCGTAAAGGGCATCGCCGGTTGTCTTGGCGCCACTCCTGGCTGAGCCACTGGACGAATTGGTGCTGAGGGGCCAGCCTGCGTTCTAGGCCCCATCTGTACCCTTACGGGCTCCTCCTCTTGGATCCGCCGGCCAGTGCTATGCACGGCCTGCCATTCAGTAGCCGCCTCCTGGCTTTCCAGCACATAGATACCAAGCAATGTCTGCTGCGCATCGAATAACCTGCGCAGTTTGGCGGGAATGCGCTGCAACGCAGCTACTGGGACCTCTGCCTTGTATGGTGCCCGACCTCCCCGCGGGTGGTAGTACCCTTTATAGTACACACCACCGAATGGGTCATGAAACACCCCCAGCATATCCCAAAATCCCTGGGCATCCTCTATCACAGGGGCATGCACCACGGGAGTGGGTCTTTTGCGCATTTCATGTGGCACCTGAGGTCGGCCTTGCTCCTTTTCGAGTTGTTGTGAATGGCACTGCTGGTATCCTGGACCAGGCCTCCCAGGCAGATACTTGATTCCGTTGGGTTCCTGTCCAGAACTGCCTTCTCCAGGGGGAGTTTTCTTGGCCTGTCGGCCTGCTCGGCGAGAGTCCTGAAACTGCAGGAACTCGGCATAATCCTCTTCCCCCATTACGGCCAGTAGCTGGGCAGTCTTATCAGCTTCTGCCCTTGCCTTTTCCAAGGCTGTCTCCTGCCTTTGCACAGCAGCATAAACCTCCTTCCTCTCTCGAGGAATAGGTTCAGCCGGCTCCCCTGCCGAACCGAGATACACAACTTCGTCATATCCAACAGAATCTCCAACTTCTGCACATGTACGCAAGTGCGTTTTCACAGCAGGGTGAATGGGAGATACTGCATTGGCAATGTTACCTGGAAATGCTCTCTGAGTTTCTTAAGGTTCCTCCCTTGCCTTTACAGGCTACATCTAGGCCTTTTCAGGCTGCTCCTTTGCCTTTCCAGGCTTCTTCTTCTCCTTAGAAGATGTTGCCTCCTTGGGGACGCTAGTCTCCTCAACTGGAGGCGGTGCCTTTCCAGGCTATGGAGGGGCGAATCGAGCGGCGTGGGTTACCCCACTATCGCTTCCACTCAACTCATCAACCCATCTGGCCGTTTGCCACGGCTGGGCCCTCTCAAGCTCAGCAAAAGCTTTCGCTTGCTGGGCCGGATCCAGCTCATCGGCCACCGGCTTAGCCTCAAGGCGCTGTGCCTTTTGGCTGCCTCTTGCAGCGAAAAACCGCCTGATCTCAACCTCGTGCTGGCGTTTATGAGCTCGCTTATGCTCATATTTTTGGGGATTCAACTGCCGATCCCACTCATGCCGCAAAGCTTTCAGCTCTCTGCGCTGGTTGGCTTTTCAAGCCTTTCGCTCATCCAACTTCCTTGCACGAGCAAACTGATCTCGATTTTGCATATGTCGTCTCTCTTTTTCCATTCTATGCACTTGCGCCCGTGTCGACATATCTCCCGGCAACGGAGAAGCGCATGAAGAGAACGACAATTCTGAGATCTCCTCCCACCGCTCGTGGGGATCATTGGGGTTCGGCCTTTCCGGAGTTCCCTCGCTCAAATCCCATGGTTCAGGGATATGTCTGAGCGCAAAGGCCATTTTTTCAGGCCAATTCGGGTCCTCTCTGGTAATTTGATCTGCCATTCCAGGACCATACCACCTTTGGATTCTCACCAGTCTCACGGTGGTTAGCTTTTCACCAAATCTTTCTGCGGCCATTTGCCAGCCTTTGTCCAATTCGTCAATAAGATCGCTGTGGAACTTAGTCCACATAGCACGGCATGGTGGCTGCCGGCTGTATGGAGTACCAGTGTCTGGAATGAATTCCAGCACCCTAGCGCTCTCTCCCAGTCCCCACTCCGGTAATGCGGGTCTCCGGGGGCTCCACTCACGACCTTTCGGCCTTTCCGGACTGGGTCCACATACAGCATGAGCGCTTTCTGTGAGCGACTCGTCGCTACTCTGCTCCGGTTCACTAGGTGTTCTTACGTGCACCTGTGACCTAACCCGTGGCTCCGGGGTCCTGAACTTTCGGCCTCCGATCTCCTCCACTTGCCCAACGGGCTAGACCTTCCGGCCTTTATGCGAAGTTCGTCTAACGCGATTGCTCTCACCGGGTTATTAAGCTTCTCATGGCTGCGAGCCGACATTTCCGCTGCTCGCTTGAATATCGGTGATGAGTGTTTCGATGGACTGTTCTTTTCTTGGTCGTTTCTTGGAGTAACCTTTTCGGGCTGGTGGCGCCTGGCGAAAGGCGGAGCCAATAGTGATCGCTTCAATCCGGCTATTATGTTGTTCAGCAGAGGACTTGGCCTCTTTGGCTTAGCGGCTCTGTTTTTTCGCCTTCCTCATCGCCACCTCGTTCCTTCGGGCTTCTTTTTGAGCCGCCGCCGGTGCAATTTCCAAGGAGGCGATCTTCTCGGCGGTCTCTTCATCCCGCTTCTCTCTCGTCTGCTTGGCCGTAGCAGCCGCCATCTGCTCCAAGAGTTCCATGATGCCAGGCGCCTTCAGTAGGGCCACCACCGTACCCGGCTCTGGCGCCTCTTCTTCTGGGGCTTTCTCTTCTGGAGCTTCCTCCGCCTCGGCCATCGGCTGGTCGCTACCTTCCAGCTCAGCTCAACCTGACGATGGGCCGGCAACGTCCTTCCGGACTTCTTCTTGTTCCTGCCCATTCCGGGCTGTAACATCCTCACCGACCGAACTGGTTGGCGTCCCCTTCCAGGGTGTCTCTTCCTCGCCCGAAGATTCGGGCATGCCCTTCCGGGCTTCAGGATCCGTTTCCTCAGCCTCCATGGAGGAGGCCGGGGAAGGGGCCCGGTGTTCCTGGCTCGCTCGCCCGCCCAGACGAAAACGTGGCAGCCACCCCCAGGTGGCTCCGAACACAATGATACGTAAAGCGTCTGGGTGTGGGGTTCCTGCCCTCTTTGAGCCGCGGACCCGCCTCGCTGGGCACCTAGGTTCTTACGGGGACCTAGGCGGGACCACCCCTCCTACTCCCGTATTCTAATACCTAGAATGGTTACCATGGGTTGAGGATAGTTATCTTGGGCAGGGCGTCCCCCACACCAAGGGCCATTAGTAGGGCGTCCCCCACATCAGGCCGGTGCGCGTAACACTAAACAAGTGGATATCAGTATATGGCAAACCCAAAAAATTAATTTGCGATCCAGCTTCCTACAATCGCTCCGTGGAATTGAAGACTTGGTTGTCTACTCACAATATTGATATTATTTGGAATCCACCTGGAAGCCATAAATCCAATGGACTTGTGGAGAGATTCAACCAAACATTGATTGGACGCATTCGTCGGCTGCTCATGGAAGATAGATTCACAAGTTGGGAACAAACCTTACCGGAGGCTCTACAAGCCATTCGCACTACCTGGAACTCCAATACCAACTATACACCAGAGGAAGTTTGGCATGGCAATTCTACAATTTGGAAGAATGTACGAGCGAACATGGACAAGGCCCGCAAGTTGGCGAATGATCGTCTCCGGTTAAGATGTCATACATATGCTCTTGGCGATCTCGTTTGGTTATGGGACTCTGAGCGCCTCAAGCAACATCATAAAAAATTTGCTCCTTTCTGGCTAGGACCTTGGAAAATTGTGGGCCAAGTGAGCCGTTCAATTTGGCGGATTCAATCTTCCAATGGTTTTGTGAGAATGGTTCATTCGGATATGTTGCAGCCTTGCTATTGAGGATTTCGAAGTTTGCACAGGGAAGCGTGTGGGCTTACAAAAGAACATTACATTCATTACCTGGACATTACATTCATTATACATCGAAGGATAAAAGGAATTGACACTATCTGTAATATCTCTTTCTCTCACTGGTCTTCACAAGCGCACAGTGCCTGGTTGCCGCTGCATTGCGGAACCAAGACGCGACCAAATAGCTGATCCGTCGCGATGACGACTGGGCGGTGTGGCGTCGGGCTGCCCGGCGTGCTGCCACTGGAACAGCGGTTAGGCTGCGGAAGGACGCGCCCCGCGGCAGCGAAGGCGCAAGGAGGTGAGCATTGTCGCGCGAATCGTTTGGGGTATTGTCGTGTACCATTTCGTGGTGGCCACTCAGACCATAGCAGCATTTGATACAGTGTTCCAGCCAGAAACATGAACGGCATCATTCCTGGCACATGTGAAGGGAACACCGATGGCTGCTCGGCACGGTGCACTCTAGATGAGGGCGCAGTAACCGGAGAGTGGCAGCAAGGGGCATCACCGTGGATGCCATATTTTGTGCATGTAGTTGCTGCGCTAATCTTGACACTGCACATGCGCCGGGCGCTTGTCGAGTTTGCTGGACACGCCATCAACTTAAGTTTCCTTTGAGGCCTATACAGGGAATGCTCACTTGCTGAACACTCAATTGCGGTTTCGGTTTGAATGGTCCATTTTGGCACAAATTTGGCAACCAGTGTCCTGTTTCTTTAAAAATGCCGAATCGCACGCCTGCAACACAAGGCATGCTTGGGAAGTCAGTGTTAGGGGCCGGCAATGGAGTGTCTTGTGGTCACATGCATCTCCATTGGAATGCACTTTGGCCAAGTTATGTGGTCCAATGGTTCCCATGGACTGACGCACTTTCTGTGTCCAGTTGTTCGCTCTTGTCGCCGGCATGGAACTCCTATGCTCAGGACATGGCCACGATTCGTTCAGCGCTCCAGGTTTCAGCCTTGTGCTCAAGAACGCCCTGAGCAAGAGACACCTGTAAAGTACAACACTGAATTTGGATATTCAAGAAAGGATGTGATCATTATTTGCCTTGGAGTGGCGGTGGCTGGGTACGCTGTGTATTACGGTTTCCAAGCTGCAGGAGTGGATGCCTTAGTTGCAGGTCCTTGGACATCAGCAGTTGTGGTAGCTGGCCTCCTGTTTGGTTGGGTCAGCACCTACTTCTTCAGGGTGGCCACAAAGGTAGGAAAGCTGGCAACGGCAGAAACGGCCACACAGCCAACCTGTAAGGAGGTGTTGGGGTGGGGTGATGGTGGGCGGGCGAGAGGGGCGGGACCAACAACTTGGATGCAAAGGAAAGCAAGGGAGTGTTGTGATTGCACAAAATGAGTGGGATGCAAAGCACTGGGCTGGGGCCCTGAACGGTATTTATATCAGAAACATGCCTTGAAGGAAAGTGGAAAACTGTTTGAAAAACAGTGACTGTCTGAACACACAATATTCTCCTGTTCTACTATTGTGCATAGTGGATTCGGAGGTGCCAGGGAGCAGAAACTATGCAGGAACATGCAGATGTTGCTATTGTCTGGTCATGCAATATTGTATGCTGTGCAACAGCATTGTTTTGTCCACATTTGTACCCAACATGTTCTTCATGTCATGCTCCATGCTGATGATTGTTCTCCTGTTGCAGGACATGACATATGCCAAGCAGTTGCGGGACTACGAAGAGGGTGTGATGCAAAAAAGATTTGAGTCACTGACGGATTCCGAAGTAGCAGATCTAATGCAGGAAATCGAACAAGAGAAACAAAAGAAGGAAAGCCCATAGTGGTCTGCAATCTGTGACAATGGACTGCAATTGTGGTTGATTTTGAATGGTCTGCTATTTTTGGCTGTTGCTGTAAGTTTTGAAGGTGTGGTGCATGTTCTTGGTTTGTCACTTGACTGATTGTCTGCTCATGGCCACAAGAGTGGGTTGTTGTCAGTGCAGCTGCGTGTACTGACCACTCAACCATTCTTCTGTGCCTTTCCTACCAGCTACTTGGGATTTGGAGTTTGTGTGTTCCTTCCTGACATAATAGTTAGCGACCAACCTGCAGGGGATGCATGCCTTGGACGATGTCACTTTCATGGGCAATTTCAGTTGTGCTGCATTGTCCAAAACGGATGACCTCGATGTCGATGGTTTGGTGCTGGAGAACAAAAGATCTGAGCTGAGAACAGACGCTGCTGGGGCCAACCTCTGCTCGACGATGGGACCATGGTGTCCTGGTGGCACACAAGGTTTGTAACCAGAAAATATCAATATGATACCTTCTCTGCAGTTGGATATTGCTTTATTCTGGCCAGAAGTTTGTCTTGAGATGGGAAAGACAACAGGAAGGTGTAAAGGTGACATGGACTGGGTGTTGCAAAAAACACTTCACAAGGCACACACCAAGACCACATCAGTGCACAGTTCAGGGGATATGTGTGAGCGATAGCGAACAGAGACATGCTATCCCAAAGAGACCAGCGTTGTGTTCTGCTGGGATGCTCATTCCCACCACATGTTTGCAACAAGATGCACACTGCATAGCGACTGTTGCATGAAAGTGCAGTGGATGGGATGCTCATTCCCACTGCATGTTTGCAACAAGATGCACACTGCATAGCGACTGTTACGTGAAAGTGCAGTGGATGGGATGCTTATCAGCGCCACATGTTTGCAACAAAATGGATGCACACTGCATAACGGCTGTAGCACGAAAGTGCAGTTGATGGAACAAGGGCTGGCCTCAACTGGCTGCAAATGTGCCAAATCATTGAAAGACAATCATATCTTGGCCAGTGCTGTCCGCCCTATTCGTTCAGTATTCTCTAGATTTCGCCATGCCGTTGCTCTTGCAAGTTTCTGCAGAGGCTTTCTGACAAATCCATCTTGTTGGACAGAAGTATCTCTGCCATTCGCTCCTAGCACATTTGCACCAGACACAGGGTTCCCTTGACCTAATGCCACGCGTGTTTTTCTCAAGGGTTGTCTTGGGTTGTTTCGAACCTCCAAGCTCCCATCATCCGCTTTGCACGGTGTACATTGGCAAGAGGTTACCATGTACACAGCACACTGAGGATGCATTTTGGGGGCACTGACAGAAGCCGCCTTGGGCCGTTCACGCACAAAGTAAACCACCACCTGCAGCCCAGCCCCGGCTGCGTCGTCCGTGCGCGGCAGGCAAGGACGGTATGGACGAAGCGCAGGCCGTGGCCTTGTACGACGAGACGAAGGCTCGGGGGGCTGGCGCGGCCAGGTTTAAGCATGGCCTGGGCTTCCAGGCGGGGTGAGCAGCTCGCGGATCCTCACCCGTCAGCACTTGTTGTGTGATCGTTTCGTTATGCAGCGCAAGCAATGCCCGCGAATGGACGCCTGTGCTTCCCGACCTGACTCTCGAGCGGCCGCTGCCTGGACTTGCAAGTCTCGAAACTACTCGGCGAATGCTAATGGCAGTTCATTCGGTTGCGCTGCAGTTCATCCGACGCTGGTGGAAGATCGGGTCCGCGCCCCGTCTCCGCAGCCCCCCCTCAGTTTGTGCAACAGAGGCCCCCTGGTGGTGCAATGCCGCGGCCACCCATAGCCGGCCCCCGACCGCCTCCCGGGCCACCGCCTCCCGTCGTGCGCGGTGGACACGGCGGGCGGCCACCTCCAGGGGTGCGTGTGGGCGCAAAGCTGTCAAACGTTTGAGATCAAAAATTCGGTGTTCATTGGGGTGTGTTGTGGAATAGATTTACTTGTTTGTGTGATTGGCTTGCGGATGTCCGAAATTGCCAACAACACAGACCACCACTCTGCAGTTCTTTGTTTTCTTTTGGGTGGGGGTTATGCAGGCAGGCGACAATGCGCACAGACGTGTGTTCCGCGTTTGCCACGCGCTCCCTGCAACTGCAGCGGATGCTCTCTGACTAACAAACAACAGCAGCTGGCTTGAAAGTCGTGTGCGCAGTGCAGGATGTGTGGATGGGTGTATGTGCGATGGCAAATGATTGTTATCTGTCCATTGCATGTGGCCAGGCCCCGCCTCCGGGCCGACCCCCACAGCATATGCTGCTGCGGCCACCCGGCGCACCCATGCCACCGATGCCTATGCCACCAGCTGGAGGCCTTCTGCCTCCTCCCCCACATGTGGCTGCCAGACCACCCTTTCCACCACCACCACCGATGATGCCCCCACGTCCACCACATCCGCCTATGCCGCCCTCGGGGGTGCCCTACCTTCCACCAAGGGGCCCCCTTGGTAGATTCCCACCTCCTCAGCCCCCAGGAATGCCTCCACCTCCACAACATACCAGCTTTGGCCCCCCTCCTGGTGGTCAGCCTTATGGAATGCCACGACTGCCCATACCAGGGCCTCCTGTGCCCCAACCAGGATACCCTGGGCCGCCGTCAGAAACTGGTAAGTGTCACTATATCCTTTGCCAGGAATAGGGAGCCTTCCTTGGATATGCCTTGACACAGCATAGCAGATGGTGGGAAAATATGTCTTGGTATCTTGCAATTAAAGGATGCTGGGCTGTTGGTGTGACTATGGTCCATGACTGCTGGGGAAACAAGTGGTGACAGCTGTTGTGCGACCTGTAACTCGTGGACTTGGGACATCAGGGCCAACCAAAGAAGTGGATCAACAGTCCGTCCAGGATGCAGAAGAGCACCAACGGAAGGAGGGGGACAAGAAGCAGCAGGCTTTGGCTAACTTGCGAAAAGCGGAGGAAGAGCAAAGGCAGAAGGAGGAGGAACTCAGAAGGAAGCAGGAGCAGGAGTCTTGGACAGCTCATAAGGCTGACGACACACAGGTGGGATGTCTTCATCAAAGGTGGTCGCATAGTTGATTTCCATAGTGCAGAGCGCCTGCAGTTGGATCATTGATTGTGTAGGCAGCATTGTAGCTAATTGCACTCCTGCATCATCCCTCATGAATGCTTGTGTGGGCTCTAAACTGCTGTGACACAATGCATATGATCAAATGCTGTTGCAGCTTCCTGTGCTAGTCCAACGCAAGACACCTTTGAAGAGGTGCACGGGGGACTCTATATGTTGCATGACCAGTATCACATCAAGAATGAACAGAAGGCTGAAAAGAAGGCTGCCACTATTTCCTGCATTGCTATGGCAAAGGACTGAAGAAGTTTTGCTGTTTTTCTTCTTGTGGTTGCTTATTGGACTGCCAGCTTGTGTATACCAAGAATTTGACATGTCACTGAAATGATGCATTGTGCTGTCTGCTACAAAAGTGTACCATGTTGCCTTTCTGGTGACAGCTGGCTGGTGGGTTGTTGTGACTGCAGCTTGAGCATTCACTGGGTTGAAGATTACATTGCGGTCACTGACATTTGGATCCAACTAAATGTCGCAGAGACACATGAAGGTAGCAAGATCAGCTACTATTGTGTTATTGGCTTTTTTCACTGAGCTGTCTTGCTGTCACAGCTGGAGTTGAGGGTTTTCAAGGTGCTTGTCAGCTGAGTTGGCCCTGTTCTGTTTTCCCTCGCATTGTTGACTCACTGTTTGCTTCTCATGATTCACAGGTGTATTACTACAACACCATGACCGGAGAGTCTTCCTGGGAACGGCCGCAGGGCTTTCGGGGTGATGCTGAGAAGGTAGCAGAGAAGCCGAAGCCCGTTGCTTCAGAGAGAATCGAAGGAACCGATTGGACGGAGGTGAAGTGTGAAGACAAAAGGAAATACTACTTCAACGTCGTATCCCAGGTACTGTTGCTTGGAGTTCAGGGAAATGGTCACGCCTGGCAAAGCAAAAAGCGCACCTGGAATGGTGCCCATTGTTACTTGCAGGTGCATTTGCAGTGTTCTCAAAGGACTGTCTCTGCTCTGATCAGTTTCCAAACTGTCAGTGCATAGATAGCAGGAAGAAATGCCAAAACTTGCAGCTGCATAGTGTTCTGCTAAATTTGGTCTGACACATGTGTGCATTGCGCAAGGAAACTGTGTGGACAGTTCCTCCAGAAGTGTCCCGCTCCCGGGCAGAGAGTGCCAGCTCCAGATCACGGCTCCCAATGGTGCAGGGATCTGGACCACCAAGTGCTGCTCTCCCACGACCTCTTCCCAGTGCAGGTCCAAAAGGACGTGGCAGGACGTTTCCAAGCTCCTCCACGATTGGTGCTGCAAAAAGGCCATTCCTGCAGAGCAAAGCCCAAGGTCCCAGCGAGACAGCCGTGGAACAGTTCAAGAGCTTCCTGCAAGAAAAAGGGGTAGGAAGAAACCTTGAAACTCGTTGGTCAATCCACATCATGACACTCATATCCAGACTGCTTTGTCCCTTGTCCGTGCCCTCCGGATATTTTTTGGGGATGGATATATTGACTGGCTTTTGGCTCAACCAAAGTGTTTTCGTTTAACTGTCACTCGATGACTCCAAACTGAGCCAGTTGTTGTATGCACACCACATCTCAAAAGCGCAGTTAGCTGGCAAACCCCACCTGTTGTACATCTAATGTTGTGCCTCTCTCAGTGGTGCTTGCTGTTGGCAGCCTGCTGGGCTCTGTTTAGCACAGCATGTGCCTGTATGAGGAAGAGTATTGGTGGCGTTTTGGCTTCTATGCTTGCTTGAGTGGGTGTGGGCACTGGGACACTTGGTGCTGTGACCCTCTGGTGAATGGTTCACTGTTGCAGGTCACAGGCCCTGATTGGAGGCCGAACAACTGCTGGTCATCGTATGTCTTACTTACAACAACCTGATTTAGGGCTAACCACACGGCAAACCTGTTAGGTAAGGGGTCAATTAGGGGCAGAGACACTGGGTCTGGCAACCCTGGACATGGGAACAGCCAAAACTGGGGAGGCAGCGAAATAACACGAAGTCTGGTTGTCTTGTAGTCGATATGCACCCATGTTTCTTCACAGAATGATAGGGCGGCGTCTTGCCTTGGACACCATGTAGATAGGCTGGTCTGGATATAGCGGGTACGTGTGGTGCCATCTTGATGACAAATCAGCATTTCTGCAAGGAATGTCCGTTGCAGGTCTGCCAGAACAAAATCAGTTTGGTGCTCTGCCCTCTCAGCAGGAGACTGGTTGGCTTGGACAGGCTGAGATGCTGGACTGTTGCCTCAGCTGTCTAACTGAGTGCCTTGTCTTGCTAGGTGACCCCATTCTCCAGGTTTGAGCGAGAGATGCCCAAACTCAAGGACGATGAGAGATGGAACCTGATATCGTCTTTAAAAGAGAAACGGGCAATTTTTGACGAATTTTGCAAAACAACAGCAGAGAGGGAGCGGCACACAAAGGAGGTTGAGGCAAAGTCAGCAATTGAAGGCTTCAAGGGTTTGCTGGCTGAGGTTGCTGAACATGAGGCTAAAAGAAAGCAGGAACTCCGGGAAAGCAAAGGTGATGGTAATTTCCTACAAAATGGATGTAACAGCAGATGCACAGGATGGTTCCATGGTCTCCTCCACGATTTTATTTCTGCAAAGTCAGGAACAGGCAGCGGACACAACTTTCCTGGGTGGAGTGCCAGTGAACACCTGTACACTGCATGCGTTCGATTGCTTGGTGAGTGTGCAGCTGTGGATCCACTTTGACAACAGGAACTGGTGAGAAACAGCCCTTGTGTGTCGCGTTGCAGCTGCTGATCGTGAAGAAGGCGAGATGGACGATGACGACTCAGATATGGTGCAACAGGATGATGGAGAGGAGACAATCCCGGGCTTGGGTCCTGACACCACGCTAGAACTGCTGGGGAGGTACTGGGGAAATGACCCCAGGTGGAAGGTGATGTGGAAAATACCAGCAGCTCAGCAAGCATGCAATCTGACGGTTGTCGGTCATCAGGTCCCTGGCACGCAACTAAGGGCAATGATTCCAGCCTGTGGGGCACTGGTCTCAGCTCTGTTGGCCTGACTTGTAGTATTTGCTATTGATTTCCAACCTGGAATTCAGAGCTGCAAATGCAGGGCTCTCCATGCTCGGCCATTCTTGGGCAGATTCCAGTCCGACCCCTGACAGTGATGTTTGGATTCGAGCACAACACTGTTGTTGTCCAGGCTCGACCTGGTTGCACGTCATAGGCAACTACAGGATGCAGGTCTACTTCATGCCTTTGAAGACGTGTTTTTGTAGAATTGTATTGCAGGGGCTTCGATTATCACAATGCTCACATCATCAATATGTTTGAGGTTGAGGGCACAAATGGATATGTCCTTGCGAGTTAGGGCCATTTTCCTTTGTGGGTTTTAACTTCTGTCATGGCAGGGAGGCAGTTGTTGATTGGAGTGCGTCACTGGTATCATGCACAAGATGGCAGGATGCAAACCTGATTTCTACATTGGCATCCACAGGCCTGTCCTGAAGATCAGCGCATTGCCCTATTTGAAGAGCACCAAGGTCCAGTGCGCCGTGCTGCCCAGGCAGCAAGGGAAAAGCAGCAGAAGGCACTAGTGGACAATTACAGGGCCCTGCTACAAGAGAGGGGAGTCACAGCATCCTCCAGGTGGTCTAAAATGAAAGACAACTTATCACAAGATGAGCGATTCCAGAGTGTTCCGAGGGCTGACAGGGAGCAGTATTTTCGACAGTACGTTGCAGAGCTGCAGGTACATAGTTTTTTTGGTTAACATTCCATTCTCTGCTGTCTACTATCCTCAGCAAGTGTCCTCATTGTAGTGGGCCTCTACTGCAATCAGTTTGATTTTTATGAGTGTGTGTGCGCGTGTGTGCTAAAGGACTCTGAGCAGCTGCAGAGGAAGGAAAAGCGTGAACGGCTTGCTCTAGAGCGAGAAATGCAGCTAAGGATGAAGCAGGATGAAGAAGAAGCAGACAGACGGCAACGGCGGGCGGCCCACTCAGATGCCATGGCTGCCTTCCAGGCACTGTTGGGTGAGACAGTCAAGGACCCCGATGCCATGTGGCGTGACTGGAAGGGCAGGTTGGAGAGGGATCCTCAGGTAGGTGCAGGTCACAGACAGTTGTTACTGTCAAATTGATACTGCTGTGGGTGATCTAGCTATTCACCAAGTCTTCTGTGGGAGTCTTGCACTATGTGGTGTGGGTGGATTCAGCTGGCTAAAATTTTAAAATACATATGGACTGCTGAAGTGCTTCCCAAGCTGACATGCTTTTGCTTGCCAGGGCCGTGCAACGAATCCAGTCCTGGACATCCGGGAGTGTGAGCGATTGTTTCGTGAGCATGTCAAGGCCATTAATGACCAAGCAACCAAAGAGTATAGGGAGCTACTGGATGAAATCATTCGTCCACTCTTTCCAAGCAAGGAGTCGAATGAGCAGGGCACAAAATTCCCAGCAGCTCTCCACACGTTTGAAAAGGCAGAAAAGCTGATGCAGAATGACAACAGATTCCTTCGTGCACCCAAAGACTCTAGGTAAGGGAATGTAAGTGTCTTCAATGAGGCATGCACAGAAGATTTTGACACGCAACGCGACTGGGTGCTTCCATGTGAACTGAAGTAGCAGGGACAAACCAGAAACATGTGCCCTGTGCAGTGCATCAATCAGTTCTATGTGCGATTACACGAGTGTCCCGTCAGGTAATTCATTTTTTGGGGGGACATGGAATTGCTTAAACTACAGAATTCAGCTGCAAAGCATGGGAACTGAAACTGGAAATTACTCCTCCCGTAGCCAGCGCTTCATGTCATGGAGCAGGTGACAAAGGATTTAGGAACGGTATGTTTGATGTGAGAGGATCCTCTGGAGTACCTGTTCCAAATTCATCAGTCTTGAGATACCATTTCTGCTGCAAAATCTTGAGCATGGCAGTGAAATCATGGCCAACGTTTTGGGCGGAGTGGTTGCAGCCAAATTTTCACACTCACTTGTTGGCCAACTGTCCAGTAGCAGAGGTATTTATTTGCTGCCTCCAGCAGAAGAAAGAGGCTTGCTATTTACACTGTAAAAACTGATGGTATTTGTGTTTTTACACGTAAAGATATTTTTTACCTTTTTACACCAAAAGGCACACAAAAATACGTCAATAACAACATAAATACAACCCCATGTACATTGGGACAGTAAATACAGACTCAGGGAGACCGGGGAGTGCCAGGTAGACGCGCTGGAATGGGCAGAAACGCACTTTTGTTCCACGCCATCGTTGCCCTTGCCGAGGGTGAAGTGGACGCTCGAGGGGGCGCAAGGCTGATAATTGTAAGTGACCTTAATTGTGTAACCTGGGTGTGACAATGAGCTGTAAAAACGTAAATACAGCTACAAAAATAGTCCCTTTTGCAAATTTACGGTTTTACGCATTAAAACATAAAATATAAATGTAAACATAAACGTAAATAATAACCGTGAAACAAACAGTGTCGGAAAGTCTGTGCGTGGGACAGTGCGACATTGTCCCTTCCTGACTTGAATATCCTCACTCCACAAACAACTGCAGATGGTTGCAGAAGACAGAATAATGGAAAGTTGTTTATGATTTGCAGTAGTGGCAGAGATGCGAATGGAGACCCTGGTCCATGTTGCAAGCCAGAATAGGTGTGATCCTCAAACGTGGTAACAATGTGCAACGATGGGAGATGTTTCATGCAGTTCGATGACATAAAATGTGCAGCTTCCCTGCAAACGCTTCCATCATTTTCGCATTGTTTGCCATCCTTTTCAGCAATGATGGTCATGAGATTGCCAAACAATGGAGCCATGGCATGTCTCTCTTACATGCATGCATTCATACATACATTACTTACACAACCAGAATGAAAGTGATTGGGGGATCGCTCAGCGCGAACATGCTGCATTATATTCCTCCCAGCAGTGGGATGGAAGGTATAAAATTGTTGGCTGAAAGGGCGCAAGAGTAGGGCACAACTGAAAGATTTGCTTACTCTGAATTTAGCATTCCAGCATAGTCAGGGCACTATGCAATGTGTGTTCTGTTCACTGAAACTGCAGGCACATTCCACATTTCCAATGTAGTTGATGGAAGCCACAGTCTAGCAGCCAATTTTT